CCGCCGCGCCTCGTCGCCTGCCGCCGCTGAAAGTGCCCCGCCCCGGGCGGGCACCGCCGAGCCCCCATCTTGGGGAGGCCCTGGCACCCGGCACCCGGGGTTTGCTTCGTGCCGCGTCGCGGTTTCGGTCATCGCTGTTGTCATCTGCAGCGCGCTGCTGTGTTCGACGGCGTTACTGGGTGTGTTGTTACGCGTTTATCTTTTATTAAGGTTCGTCCGGAGCGTCCCCGTGAGCGTACGTGAGCCGTGCCGGGCTGCCGTGTATAAATCAGGGCGTATAAACAGCTGTCTGGGGAAAAGATGCGAGAGTGAGACATCAAAAAAAAAGGATGATGTTGCTTTTAATTTGTTATTTAAGTGGGTGCTTGAAAGCTCCTGTGCATTCCTGTTTCCAGGTATTTTTATGAGATCTGTGCTTTTCGATATTAGCCCGGATGCTTGTTTTATGGCTTTGTGCCGTGGCGTGGGTTTGTGGAACCGCGGGCTGTTAGGCCCCGCATCCCTGTGAAATTTCTGATCTGCCATGTTTGTTGTTGCGGTGGTAGGGTGACCCCAGGGCGAGGTGGTGTGGCTGGGACCGTAAGTAGCACTACGCCCTCCACACCTGAATGCTTTAGCCCTCAAAAAGAGTCACGGAAACACTGGTGTGTTCAGGAGGCCCCGTCCTGAGGTGGGATTGTCCCTTCAGTGTCGCTAGCAGGAGTTTGAAAAAGTGAAGATCAGAGGGTGCGTTTGTGATTGCTGTCTGATGACGTGTGGTGCACCCATGCTCTTCGGTGAGCTCCACTTTTCAGCAGTGATGCCATCGTTCAGGGAACGGGAATTGAAGAGCAGAGCTTAGCAAGCAGAGTGCGCTGTGCAAAGCAATAGGATGTTTAAGAACATTTAACCTCCCTTAATTTATTCCAGACCAGCTTTTATGATTCCTTTTGCATGTAGAGAAGCCTTAAAAGCAGACAGATTGTATGTTTAGTTTGGTGCATCGTTCAGATTTTTGCCCATTTATTAAGCTAGAATATGGTTGTGAAATACAGTAAAGTGCCTTTGCAGTACTGATGCACCATCATCCATTTCACGTGGCTTTGACGGAGCAGCGTAAGAATGAAGTTGCAGCTTTGTCCTAGTGGCATACATCTTCCCCCATACAATGAGTAAAAGTCAATATACGATGGTCAAAGCTCAGCATGGGCTGCATATACTGCATAGACGGTAGAGGGGCTTTTCCCTGGACAGTCAAGCACTGTGTTGACAGTAGCTCTCCATCTGCAGGCCAGTATCACTCTTTCTGCAGAAGTCTGTAGTATCAAGCTTGTCTACGTTGGCAGTGGAGAGCTAGCTGGGAAGGTCTTGCTGGGTTACTTTTTAAGCAACAGAAGCAGAGGCTCTTGTGTATTTGCATGCCCTCAAACTCTAAAGCAAGGGAGATGAGCTAGCAGAACCCTGTTGTCCTGGAAACAAGATTATTTGTTTCCCTTTGAGGAACCACCGTTTGCTAATGCTTTTTTCAAAAGCCCTTAATTTAAAAACTTATTAAGGTTTTTCCTGCTTCTGAAGATTTTAATTCAGCGGGCTGTCTTGCTTCTAGGAACTCAGAGGGCCCTCACAGGGAATGCAATATCTTGCCAATTTTTTCACAAGTCTCTCTGACTCTCAGTGCAAATGTTAGGTGGGAGCAAATGGGGGGGAACATACGTATTTTTGGCAAGAACTTGAAATTCAGAATTCTTAAATTTAGAAATTCTGGCACTTTCCAAACTTTGAGGTAGATGTGACCTCTTTTATTCACTGCTCCCTGCTGGCAGTACCAAGTTGTTAGCAAATCATGATTTCAGTGCTGTTTTCAAGTATCTGTATCTAGGCTTTATGCATTTTTCTTGGTACATGACAACTTCGCCTTTTATTTAATTTGTTTTTAATGAGCTAATTTTAACTTAATCTATAGTGGTGGTAGCCTGTAGGGACCCATGGAGAAACAAAGAACCCTGCCAAAGAGTGGCAAAGGAGCCACATGATCTTCAGAGGGTGTTTGGCTCCGTTACTGAAGACAGTGATCACACGTCTGCAGAAACTTACTTCTGTCTCGCTTGCTGTCAGCTGAGACAGAAGGCTGTACCCCTACTAGGGTAGTAGAATTTTTGGTCTTAACGTCTCAGATATGTTGAAGGTTGGACATCCTCAGCCACCTTAGACCTGTTCAAGTCCAGTCTGGTTGCACAGGTGCTGTATTAAATGGAAGAATCTGGACTTCTGTAAGGCCTTTGACACGGTCCCCCACAACATCCTTCTCTCTAGACTGGAGAGGTATGGATTTGATGGGTGGACTGTCCAGTGGGTGAGGAATTGGTTGGATGGTTGCATCCAGGGGGTAGTGGTCAACGGCTCAATGTCCAGATGGAGGTTGGTGACGAGTGGTGTCCCGCAGGGGTCCTTATTGGGACCGGTACTGTTTAATGTCTTCATCAATGACATAGACAGTGGGATGGAGTGCACCCTCAGCAAGTTTGTAGATGACACCAAGCTGAGTGGTGCGGTCGACACGCCAGAGGGTTGGGGTGCCATCCAGAGGGACCTGGACAAGCTCAAGAAGTGGGCTCCTGTGAACCTCATGAGGTTTAACAAGGCCAAGTGCAAGGTTCTGCACCTGGGTCGGGGCAACCCCCGGTCTCAATACAGGCTGGGGGATGAAGGGATTGAGAGCAGCCCTGCCGAGAAGGACTTGGGGGTACTGGTGGATGAAAAGCTGGACAGGAGCCAGCAATGTGCGCTCGCAGCCCAGAAGGCCAGTCGT